TGAGAGAGCAATATAGGCCTATTTTACTACATACTTTACATAAAGGAAATTTGCACAAATCATCAAAGCAGCTTCTTTCCTTGGATTACTTTTAAAGATGGTGATAGGCTATATTTAAGTGTCTGTAAGCCTGGTGATGAAGGTTCTTAAAATGACAAGGGAAATAAAATACAATTTCTCAAAATATTATGCAGATTTTTTCCATCCAGCAAAATAAATGACAAAATACTAAAAATAAATACATATTTTAAATACATTTAATTGAAATACTGCCATTATATCACGTGGTTTTAGTTACTTTATGGTTGGCTTTGTTTGAATAGTCTGGATGGAACAAAACGCCTGTAAGGAAATGCTCAGAACACAAAACATGCCACATTCTGACAGTACTGTGATTCAAGTTCTTTCAATTTATCTAAGATTTCCATTGCCTTTCCGGTAGTTTTTCAGTTACTTTGCCTTGATTTTTACTAAACAAAAAGGTAGAGCTGGGCGATATATCCTAAAAATAAAATCACCGTTTTTTTTCCACAATAAATCCAATTTTCGATTTTAATCTATTTCCCCTCCCCTACTCAAAATCAAACTACAGATGACAAATAAATGGTTCAAAACAAGTTAACTTTATTTTTATTTATTTTACTTTAGAGTTAAAGTGCAACCTGGCAAGCCAAAAAAGATGCTTGTAAGCGAGATGGCAGACCACGCCATTGTAAACACTTTTAGAAACTTGTAAAAACTTTTAGCATGTTAATGAATCCCAGCTTTTACACAGTATGTATGGGCACCATGTCTTTTGCAAAACTGAACCATTGCCATGTTGTTTCTGAATCCACTAGAGTGTTTGGGTGTGCCGCGTTAATTTACCTGTGAAGAACGGTGCGTCACATTAGTTCCGCTTTAGGCGCTCGCGTGTAAAATAAGTAACGAAATCGATTTTCATAAAAACACATCATCCTGAACTGTAAATTCGAATTAATCGATAAAATCGATTTATCACCCACCTCTACCAAAAGGTATACAAAAGAAACTTAGATTTTTTTTTCCATTTTGCTGCTATTACTACTTGTTCCCCAGTAAAATGGCCACCGTCTCGTTTTCATTTATGAGTACTTTGGACAATGATGTCAGCTTAATACAACCCATTGAGGATTTTATGAATCACCAGCAATTTGTAACACTAAAGAGGGTTATTATCTATCTTGAGCTAATGAAAATATTCTAGCTTTTACTGCAGGTGTGACCACTGGATTATGACTGAACCAAAATAGTCACGTGACACACAGTTGGAAGGCACCCTTACTTTAAATACAATAATTATTTTGTGATTAAAACATGTCATAATGTTAAATGTAAAATGAATAATGAATTTTGTAATATTAGTAATGTAAGAAGAGCTGAACAGGATGCACCTGCAGTGGTGGCAGTGGGTCGGCATAAGGGCTGAGGTGTCGCGGTTTCGACATACAGAATCGCGGCAAGAGATCATGAATGTCTGTATCGTGGTTTCAGAACAGTTACACCATTACAAATTACTACATTATGTTTGTACATCCATGACATATGACAGAGGTTGGGCTGAACCAACAACATACTGATGACACCACACTTAAAGCAGAAGATGAAGATTTAAAGAATCTTGAGAAAGGTTAGAGTGAAGCAAGAAAAAACATGTTAATCCATCCATAACCACCTCAACAACAGCTAACTATAGCGTTGAAGGCACATTATATTCATATTTTCCATAGAATAATTACCTACCAGCTGTCAATTCCACAGACTGACAGTTGGTAGAGTTACAATAATGGACCTAAGGGGAAAAAAAGGTCACCCATGCTAGAGAGCACATAGCACAACATTCTCACATAAAAAGTTCATACAAGCTGAAAAGATCTTTTAAAAAGAACAGATACAGACCTGACAGCTAGTTCTTCTGACAGTTCTAGTATTTAATTTTCCAGAGATCTTTTCCATTATAATTTTCATACAAAAGAAACTTGCATACCAGGAATGCTATATTGATGAAATTTTAAGTAATTATTTAATAAAGTTATTCTGTGAGTCTGCAACTGTATATTTAACCAGAGACCTTCATTCAGACAACTGGCAAGGCAACTAGTAGCTGCAACTGCTCTTTTGTCCAGCCAGAAATCACTAGCTTGTTTCTCTCAGCTTTAACAACGTTAACTGGTAAATCGAAATATTTATGGCTATCTATCTTGGTAGTAAGTACATATTTCCTCAGAAAAAGACAATTTAACACTGTAACATATGCAATCTAACATTAACACAATAAAAAACAAAGAAGGATTTCCTCTGTCTATCTAGCTGTTTGTTGGCCAGCTAGATAAACTCCGCTTTGGTTCCCAAACCTCTCCGTAGGGGCACCCCAGCTATTTTATGTATTTGTTAAATTCCTCCACTAGCTCAATTAATTAACTTGACTTGTTAAATAAATGCAATGGGGTATTGACTGAAAAAAATACATGGGTGAATTAGACAGGTGCTGGAAATACGTTGGCGATTTTAGGAGAGGTTTTGAAATGGCTAAGCTGACACGTCAAAAGACGAACTATCATAGTTTTACATCAACATGAAGATCATTTTCTTATCATGAGATTATGAAGATCAGTTTCTGTGACTGCCTAAGACTATTGCACAGTACTGTACAGAACAATCCAATATTTTAATGCAGTATAAATATTTTTGTAATACCATACTAGGTAAAGATCTAGAAGAGCTGGCCTAGGAAAACTGTTCTGGGATAGATCTTTTCACAAAGGTTTTGACTTTTTAAAGAATCGGCTCCCATTTTCGAAACCAAAACTATATCTCACTTATGCAACATGTTTAGAAGTACATATATATATATATATATATATATATATATATTATATAGCAATATATTTGAAATCAAAGAAAAAGACTAACTCTTCCATGTCATGAAAACTGCATACATTCAAAACTGTAAAACAGGAGATGCGTCACAAATCCCATTGAAACAATTACATCTAAGGGTTATTATTGTAGCTGTTTAAACGGTTTTTAGAGCAATTCAAATCTTTTTCTCTACTCTTTTGTGGTGGTGAGACAATTTAAATGGTTTCAGGCTCATCAGAAAAGCTTGGTTTGCTACAGATAAATCAGTTATTATGGTATTTCTAATAAAACGTCTAAAAGAACTTTTAGAAACTACTCTCATGCATTTATATGTATGAATATGTAAACTTTATATTAAAATGTCTGATATGTATTAACACGTACAAAATGATGTAGCTTTCTACAACATCAAGGTCAACCATTACTTTCTCAAGTGCTGGCAAACCAAAAGAAAATATTTGGACTAGTGCAGTTTAAGCATTCAAGTAAATATACATTACACATAACCATCAAACATAACAGTCACAAAGCAGTTTATTTTGCTAGTTAGTCATCCACACACGTGTCAGCGGAAAACACGTACTGTATATTTACCATAATGAAATTAAGTGTAAGACATTCCACTGAAATAAACAATCAGCAAACTCCACGTGAGATTAATTTAATGTGAACAATAGGATTGTTTGACACGCTATTTTAATCAAACGCTTTATTGAAATACTTAGCCAGCTACAGACAGTCAATCAGAGTTTTACAGAGAAAGTGTGTGGGTGAAAATTTGCGCCTAAATGATGATCCACGGGCAGTTACCAGTACACAATCATTCTCTGTAAATAAACTATTGACAACAAAAGCAATATTGAGAAACATCATAATAAATACCTTATATACGTCCCCATACGTGCCGCTCCCAACTCGTTGTATAAGCTCAAAATCATGCTGTGGATTTCTTCTTTGAATTTCCCCGCTAGGTCGGGTGATCACATCCATGCCGTTCAATCTTTCACATTAAAACATCACAGAAAATAAATCTTCTGTCTATACCATCTAGGTAACTAGTTCCTTTCCTTTTTATAGAAGCAAAATTTTTACTTCCAAAAATGGCTTCTGGCCCATTTCCTGCTGTTAAGAAAGAGGAAAAAACGATTGTCAATAAACACAAAGTAGTAATTATGGTAAATAATCAACTCGTAAGAATATTTTTTGTTCGTATATACAAAAATAAATATTAAGTACGTCGTTTTGAATACGTCTAATAGACAAACCACATATCAAAAAAGTAAAATGTCTGTATTCGCGTTCTTCACAATATATATATATATATATATATATATATATATATATATATATATATATAATATTCTCTCACTATTTGCAATTTTATATATACAACGATTATACAACACAACAGTATTCCTGAAATAAAGGGGGAAATGAGAAATCGATTGTTTCTAGCTAGCTAACTTTGATAGTTAATGCCCGTCCACAGAGCAAGCACTTTTGGCAACACTCAACAAGCCAGTTACGCATTTGGCACAAATGAATTAAAATACGAAATATTAAACTGCCCTGTTTATATTTTTGCGAGTTTTATCGTCTTACCTGACTAAAAGGTTGCTTCCTTCTAGGACAGCTTGGCGATTAATGATTTGAAGTTGTAGCTGGTCAACTATTTCTCCAGACGGCTAACTAGTAACAGGCTAGCTATGCTAGCTATAGAGAGTGTAACTATGAATACTTACGCAACATTTGCATATCTAAGTCAAATATTTTTGAGAAATAGAAAACATATTGATGGGTCAGAATTAGCTACTAATATTTAGAAAATATATATTTAGTAGTCGACGTTTAACTGTATATAAGCCCGTACGATCTACGTAATATTTTAAACGAGCGCCTGAAATACCCAGAAGTCACCAAGCGTCTAGATGTCTGTGCGAAACGTTTTGCACAAAAGGAATTCATCCACTACACACACCTCGGTTACTCGAGGCCAGCCGCACACACGCTATTTTACAGAACCAATTTAAAAAAAGTATACTTCACCTCAAGATTCGTAGACCGTTATATCATTTCCTGTCTATACATATCTATATCTATGGAATTATTTGAAAAGTAAATAATAATGCAAACTCTATGGTGTTATATAGGGAAAAGGGATCACAGATTGTCCCAATTCCATATTATTAGAAAGAAAAGTTTCTGATTTCTGCATTCTATGACGAATATTATTATATCGAAAATTTAGATGTTTGCTATAATAATGTGTTATTGAAGGCGCTGTTTTGAAAATCAATTGAAAGGAAGTAATATCATATGACTCTTTAGACTGTTCACGGCATTCCCTTTTAGTGAAGGGTATGATAATTAAACGTAAAGTAAATGTCGTTACAAGCGGATGAACATTGAAACGGCCATGTTTCATATTTTTTCATATAAAATTCGTCAATTTAAGTAGGATTAAAGTGGTTAGCTAAGTTACAAACGGGAAAATTAATAGGTTTATCAGATAAATACATTGTAAAAGCATATTCATTTTAAATCTGCTTTTCCTAGTGAATTCACGAGAGATGTAATTTGATGCAGCCGCCGGCTATCGACAGGGCAACTTTCAAATTCAATAGATTGGTTTGCTTATACCTACTTGTAGGTGTTGTTTTCGAAGATTACGCGAATCACTCCCCCTGGTGGCATTTACACGTCGTGGCTGTGTCTGAGATGAGAATGAGGCTTCATCCATCCATGCTCTTTTTTCCTGAGAAAGCATTCTCAGCGTTGAATGACAGAGATTTCCTTCGTCTGCGTGTTCGCTTACTAGAATATTATTCAATCGAAGCAGCACACGCAATAATTGTCTGACATACCTGGCAGCTCCATGGCTAGGAACCGCAAAGACAAGGATAGCTGGGGTGAGCGTTTTATAATGAGCAAATATAGCGTCATTGTTCTTAGCGAAAGGTAATTGTGATATGTACCTCTTGGATATTGTCTCTGTTTGTCTCACATGTTCAGTGACAGCCACAAATATATCTGACCCAACTATAAATCATTGGGAGCGATTTCTCGGAACGTTTTACTTAGAGTGACACTATTCCGTTTATTTTAAATATGAACTTCCTCCGTTGGTTTGGAGAGCGACTGTAAAAAAAAAAAACATAACATGAATGCGCAGAGTAGGCCATACACTGTTTTCATTTGATCATTTTTGGGTACCTAATTATAATGTGCAGTATTGTCATGCAGAAAAACATTTGCTAGTTCTGAGCGAGACATTCGTAAAATAGCGACGCGATAATTTTATTAAGTAATAATATTAGAACATATCTGTAATCACGGAATCGGGGCGGAGGGAGGTGAATATCGTCGCACATAAATTCATATAGTTCCTTCCGTATGTGTATAAACCATGTTTACTAGTAGTATGTATGGCAATGTTGTTATTGTGTGTACGTATTTCAACAAACCCATTACATTAAGCATATTAAAATTATATGTCATTGTTGCACAAAACCTAGCTATATTTTAGTGCGTGTTATCTGGACATGTGAAAACAGTGATATTAACTGGCCATGATGGTGAATGTGCAAGAAAGCGTTCATTTATGGCTTCAAATTATAAATATCTTATTTTCCTTTAAAGTCAATAGGCCTATCTGCTTAATTGTGCTAAAGCTGTACCAGTATTTTTTAAATAAAATATTCTGGTAACAATCCACATTTTTGTGACATTTATATTTATAAAACATATTCAAATTATTAACTTCCATTAATTCCGTTTCCAATGTACACATTTGACAGCAGTGTTTTTTTTAATATGTCAGTCTCTTTCTTTGAATAGGTATTATTTTAAAACTACTAGGGGAAAATAATGAAATAAGCTGTCAGTAGTTGTAGGACAAATACGTTGTTTAATGGGGTTGTGGAAATAATTAAAAGTTCAATATTAGAATTGGGGCGGTACGATGGTGCAGTGGTTGGCATTGTTGGCTCACACCTCTGGGACCTGAGTCTTCGCCAGGGTTCCATGTGTGTTGAGTTTGCATATTCTCCCCATGTTATCATGGGTTTTCCTCCGGGTACCAAAAAACATCCAATAGTCCAAAAAACATACTGGGGTTCATTGTAATTACCAAATTGCTCGTGGTATGCATATGTGAGTGAATGGTGTGTGGATGTGACCTGTGATGGGTTGGCACCCCATTCTGGGTTGTTCCCTGCCTTGTGCCCTTAGCCTCCTGGATAGGCTCCAGACCCCTCGTGAACCTGAATAGGACAAGCAGTTACAAAAAATGGATGGATATTAGAATATGTAATTAAATTGTTAACAATTTTTAATTGTTAATAATATTTTTTTTAATGAAATGGTAGCAGTTTTGAGTGAATGATCCTGTACATTGCTTTGAACAAAATCATGGCCAGATGAATAGAACAACTCATTTTTGTACATAGTGTAAGAAGGAGGGGTGGGGGAAGCATGAATGTCCTGAGGTCAAGTGACAAGCCCATTCATTCATTTGTACTTATTAATAAAGAACACAAAATGGATTTGGGCTTTGCCTCCCAGCATCAGCACACACACCCAAACCATAAAGCCTAATCCTACAACCAGTTGAACCAATGCCCATTTTGTCTTCCTGGTTGTTTACTAGGACTTGATTATTTTGTTAATCCACACTATTTTGGTATACCTGTCTTCCACTCCTCCACTCAGGATGTCAGTTGTGATCCTCTGAGTGTGATTAATTACAGGGGGTGTTGCATAGTTTGGATCTGAGGTTATGTTACACATTAGTTATGTATTAATAGGAAATATTGGGATCCTTCTGTGGAATGGAACTGTAATTTTTTTTTTGATGTTTTAACATGTTTAGGTAATTTAATTTCCTTCAATCGTTGAATCATCATTAACATCGATCCATGATGCCAAATATGTGTGTTACGGTTTGATAGGTGAAACAAGATATTAGACTTTCTGTTCACTTTGGCAGCTGATTTTTATTTTAGTATGTTTGTTATTGTAAATATGCATACACAGTGGTACCTCGGTTCTCGAACTCACTAGAACTTCAATTTCTTGAAAGTCGAACAAACCAGTTTGACCTAGAACTCAATCTGAATATCAGAAGTCGAACCGTGAACACTGACCTAATATAAATTGTACGCGGCAGGAAATGAGTCATACTACAATGCAATTCTTACTTGACTGCCTTCTTCACGGACTGGACGATTAACCAAATAAAGCAGCGCAACATTACAGTAACTAACAATAAATAATCCACTAACTTACGTGTACTATTAGAGCATTTATGT